AATGCCTCTCTCTTGAGGGTTTGTGGAAATTAACCCCTTCAGGGCTTCTCACTGCTCAGAAAAAATGGGCTTTGAGTAATCCTTTGCATCTCTGCTACCCTGGGGGAGAGATGACATCCTTCCCTCCTGCAGTTTTGGGGCCACACCCCTGGACTACTGATTTGCATGGGGTGGGAGTAGGGGGCATATTCCTCCCTGTCTCTGGGCTGGACTAGGCACAGTGCATCCTCCCTTCCCCCGAGGTGGTTGTCCCTGTCTTCCTGGTCACAGACTCCTGTGGCCAGCCTGCTGTGGGTGGGGCAGGAGTCACTGCCCCTCTCCCAGCCTTGGTTTCCACAGGTGGAAATGGGGATTGGTCTGCGGCTCAGGTGCTCCTGCCCCTCTGTTCTCTGCCGACTCCTACATTCAGATGCCTTTCCTTGCCATGCCCTGGGGACCTGGGGCACCTCAGGCCACCTATCTAGCGTGGGGCAGAAAGGGGCACAGTTGCCTGGGTAGGGAAGCGAATTCTCTTGTCCTAGGCACTTCCCAACGCCTGTCTCTCAGGTGGCCATCAGGGGGCGTGCCAGCCCCAGCCCTGGCATGCGGGAGCTTCCAGCAGTGCAGCAGTGTCTAGAATAGCTCTGCCACAGTGGGAGCGCCAGGGGGAAACGCCTGCACCTGCAGTGGCTCTTTGGGAGGCCAGGACCACCAGTGACAGCCACAGGTGATGTGACGGGGTGCTGGCTGCAGCAGGTGGGTGCCAAGAGCACATGTCGGAGGTGGAGTACCTTGTTCACAGTCACTCGATCAGGATGACCCAGACCAGACCCTGGGGAGGTGGGGCTTAGGTAAAGAGAAGGAGGCTCTCAGGATGGAGGGAGCGAGGCTCACTCTAGTTCAAGCCCTGGGCTGCAAGACCTTGCCTGGGCAGGATGGCCAAGGGCTGGGCAGTCCTCCAGGGAGAGGTTCCATGGTGGCCCTGGGTTCCGGGAGAGGCAAGATGGCTGTGTGGTTAGAAAGGATGGCCTCACCGAATCACGCTCCTCTTACAGCTGTCCAGGGCCCCTGGGCCCTCCACTGGATCTGGGGACAGTGACGATGATGTTTGTGAATGAAGAGGTGAGGCCCTGGCCCGGGACAGGAGCACCACTGAACACTGATACCCCACCAGCAGCTGCCCCCTCCACAGCCTGCAGGGGCTGGGGGCTGGGCCACCACAGGGTCCTCCAGGCCTGGCCTGTGAGGGTGTCAACCTGGTGAGTGTAAGAACTCTGCACTGACCCTGGGAAGTTCTGAGAGGCTGGTGGCTGCTGGGCAGTGGGCCAGCCGACTGGAAGCTCTGGTCCTCTCCAGGAGCCAGAGGGCTGCTTGCTTGGGCATCTGCTGGTTGCCTCCTCTCTCACTCAGCCTCACAGCCCCATACCCGAAAAATTGCCAAAATCTAAGCAGCAGGCCCAGAACCCAGGAAGCAAGCCCAGGACCCAGGCAGCGAGCCAGGACCCAGGCAGCAGGCCCAGAACCCAGGCAGAGGGCCCAGGACCCAGGCAGCGAGCCAGGACCCAGGCAGCAGGCCCAGAACCCAGGCAGAGGGCCCAGGACCCAGGCAGCGAGCCCAGGACCCAGGCAGCGAGCCAGGACCCAGGCAGCAGGCCCAGAACCCAGGCAGAGGGCCCAGGACCCAGGCAGCGAGCCAGGACCCAGGCAGCAGGCCCAGAACCCAGGCAGAGGGCCCAGGACCCAGGCCTCAGATGCCACGCTATTCTTAGGCTCCTCCTTGCTTCTGGGTGACCTCACCCGGCCCATATGTTCTGAGTCATGCTCCCCCACCCGCAATCTTGCTCCACCCTAGTGAGCTCTGCCACGGAGGCTGCTGGGCTCCTGTGGAGGGGGTTAAGCCAGGCAGCTGGGTTTGCCTTGGGCTGTGGTTGTGGGCACCTAGCTCCAAGGCTCAGACTAGGCCACCTCTCTGGAGGCTGATGGACCCGGGTCTCAGCAAAGCAACTGGGACTTTGCTTTGGTGCTGAGTGCTGCACATGGGAGGGACTCCAAGCCCTCAGCCCTGTGCTCCTATTGAAGCCTCACCTCAGGAGCACCCTCCAGTTCTGGAGTCGTGGGGAGGTGTCTGACAAGGGTCTGTCCCAGTGGCAGCCAATAGTGGCACTTCAGGCGTCACTCATCTACTGTCATGACTGGTCCCAAGTGACGTGTGCTGGAGCCTTGGGGACCTGCCCCACACCCAGAATAGCACAGACACAGCCACACTGGCTTAAAAATCATTTATTCCCATGCAGAAGTCAGAGTAGAAAAATAAACAGAAAACAGAACGAGTACAAAACTGGATGGGATCAGGGTGGCTTCTGTCCTCGGCCTCCATGCCGAGGCGCGTGCATGCCCGCCAGGACCGGCCCCAGGCCTCCCAGGATGCCCCAGCCCAGCGCCTTTGGCACCTGCATCATAGCTGGGGGGCGGGGTGTGGAAACCCTCTGCAAAGGGAGGGTGAGGGATGGGGCCCTGCCCTGGGGATCACAGGTTGGGGGCCAGGACCAGGGCGAGGAGGCCGAGGGCGGGTGCTAGGCTGAGGGGGGTGCTGGGGAGCGCAGTGCGGGCGGGCGCGGCGCTGGAGAGCCTCTCGTTGCACAGGTCGCTCTGGCAGCACAGCGTGGCCCCGGTGCCGCTGCTGACCTGGCCCTGCAGGCTGTTGGTGGGCACACACCCCTCCGCACAGTCCTTCTTCACCAGGTTCCCTGTCAAAGGCTCCACTGCGCACAGGTGGGTGCGGTCAGGCCCGCCGCACACCACCCAGCTTACCCCGTGGCCACCGGAGACCCACCCCGGACCCGCACCCTCCTGAGCCACTGTGGCCACTATGACCAAACCATCACCAACATCACCCCACCCAACTGCCCTGGGGGTGGTCCTACAGCCCTCGGGTGCCTGGACAGATGTCACTCACCCGTGGTCATGGTTCTGCAGAAGCGGGCGCTGGCTGAGCAGGTCTGGGGTTGACGGCAGTTGGTGGAGCTTGTGCACACGTGACAGCGGAGTGCCCAGGCTGGTGGGTGAGGTCAGGGGGCTCAGGAGACTGCAAGGCCTGGGTCCCCTGCCCACAAAGACCCCTCCTGGATGGAACACTCTGCCACCCCTTCCTAGGCAAGCCCCCTGAGGCCCCTGGGACCTGCTGGGGCTCTTGTCCTCAAGGGATTTCTGCTCAGGCCTGTCAGACTCCAGCTGAAGGAGAGGCCCTGTCCTGGGCCACGTCTGGTGGGATGTGAGCAAGAACGGTGTGGATTTGCAGGAGACCCTTCCTCTAGGGGCCTGGGACCTGCTGGGGCTCTTGTCCTCAAGGGATTTCTGCTCAGGCCTGTCAGACTCCAGCTGGAGGAGAGGCCCTGTCCTGGGCCACGTCTGGTGGGATGTGAGCAAGAACGGTGTGGATTTGCAGGAGACCCTTCCTCTAGGGGCCATGGAGAGCTCTGGGCTATGCTAAGAGCAGCTCCTGGACACAACTGCTGTCACCCACTCCAGCGGATGTCCCCAAGTGGACAGCCAATGGTTCTGAGGACCCAAGGGGTCTGGAGCTGTCAGTTTGGCTGCCCTGAGCCTGTGGAGGGAAAGGCTCGGCTACCTCCAGGGCTGTCCTGGGAGGGAGTTGGGGACCAGGGAGGGGCTCCGGCAGGGACTGGGTGCCCCACGCATCTGTCTTTCCCCTGGGGGAGGCATCTCAAGACAACCCTATCTTGACCCCCTCTCGGGGTGTCTGTGATTCCATGAGTCGATTCTAAGATTCTCAGATTCTGAAATATTCTAAGTTTGTGAATCCACTAAGTTGTGAGATTCTTTTGTTTTAAATTCTAAAAGTCTGGTAGCCCACAATGTAGGATTCTGGAGCCTAAAGGTCTACAGCACAAGGCTTCCAGTGTTTTGGTGCCTGCCTGGGGGGCCCAGCCTGGCTGAGGCCCAGGGTGGGCACGTAGGCCGGGGCTGCCCGCTCCCACCCAGACCCTGCCCAGCCCCTCACCTGGCCCTGTGGCCATAGCCAGGGCAACAAGGAGCAGCGTGACCGTCTTCATCTCCGGTGTTCTCTGGGAGCAGTGGGGGCACCTCCCCTCTGGAGGCCTTATAGCTGGGACAGGTGCTGTGGGAGGGTGGGGCGGGCAGGTAGCCAGCTTGCCATGTGCACGTGTCAGCACAGGACCAGACCTGCCCCACCCTGCCTGGCCCATACCCACAGCGCCGCTCCCACCCGGTCTCTGCCAGCTGGAGGGTCCTCTGCCCTTGGTCACCTCCCCTAGGTAGGGGTCTGCCCTCCCGTCTCGGGGCCCAGCCAAGGCCAGCTGTGGACAGGGGCTTTCCAGTGTCTGTCGCATCTGGCTCCTGCCTCTGCAGCCGGCTGCTTCTGTGTCTCCGTCTGTCCCTATCTCTCTCTCTCTCTCTGTGTCTGTCCTTTCACGGCCTGTCCGTTCCTGGGTCACTTGTCTCTGACCTTCCACCTCTCTTGTCCCCATCCTCATGTCTTTGTCCTCGCACCCCCGCCCCACCAATAGTTGATAGTTGCTTCAACAGAACTGCAGCCTGTGTGGGTGCCCACGGGAGCCCAGGGCTGTGCCACCGGGCGGGGAGGCAGGAGGACGAGGAGCTGCCCTGTCTTCCTGGGCTCTGGGCTCAGGGTACTGGGTTGACCCCATGGAGTGCTGGAACCCCACGGAGCCTCATGGAACCCCACAGAAGCAACATGTCCCTGCTGAGGTATGAGGATGCGGGGGGTGGCTGTGGTCTGGCCAGGTGTGCGAGGTGCAGGGGGAGGAGCCGGGCGTGGGTGCAGGTGTGGACGTGGTGGCAGAGAGGCATGGCTGGCCCGGTGAGGGGTGAGAAGACCGCACACGGGACCTGGCCATCCAAGGTGCCTGGCAAACTCCAAGCCAGGGTGGGGCTGGTGGGGAGAGGCAGGGGCTGTGGAGGCAAAAACTCAGCCCCTCGCTATAAGGGGAGAAACCGAATGCTCTTCCTGGTCTCCACCTGTCTGCTCTGACTCCCACCCTCGGGGACCCAGGACCCCTCCCCAGCTAAGGCTCCCTCCCCTATGCTCCCAGGACCCTCACCTTTGGGCCCCCTGTGCCCAGGGCTCCGGTGCAGGCTGCGGGGTCTGGTGCCCAGGGGTGGGCGGCAGATCCTCTCCTTGACTCTCTGCACTCACGGGAGAAGCTTTCTGTGCTGCGTGACAGGAGCCCCTCCCTGCTGTTTCCCAGCCTTGCTCTCCGGGGCCCTGCAGCCCTCCCACAGAGACCATATCCTGCCCTGCCCTGGCGCTGCAGGCTGGCTGCTGATC